TGGATTCCCCTCATTTGTCCTTTTAACCAGCAAGAAGTGAAACTTTTTGCTGGGGGATCTACAGCACCCAAGATAAAGAAGCCCGATGTTGCAGCCTCAGCACCAAAAGGAGATCTCCTTCACGGGATTTGGAGCGTCGATTTGGATAGGCAGTTTGGCTGCTGAAACGGGAGTGCCTTCATTCCGCAGCCGTCATGCTGGAATCCCTTGTTCGCAAGTTTTGTGACGCAAAAAGATCTGGTTCGCGATGGAAAAAGCGCGAGGCTTAACTCATGAACCCTTATTTTTGTTTCATGAATGGTCGTTCAGCCCGGCTTTCTCTACCCTTGCAGGAACATGGCACCTAAAATCTGAAAGATGATCCTTTGGAAGGTAGTCAGGGTACCCGTGGGAGAGAGGGTATAGACCGTCAGTGCATTCAGGTTTCCAGCGAGAGAGAGAGAGAGAGAGACTTGGAGGAGCCACCCCTTCGGACAAAAGGATGCCGCAAATGGTGACCCATTCCTCGTTGTCTGGTGGCAGAGTTTGTGGCAGAAATGGCTTTAGATGTGGCGTAGCATCACAGAAGCGAACGATTGAGCAGCATCATCTCCCTGAAATACGTAGTGTCGCCGAAAAGAGCACACAACACAGCCTATATCTTTGTTTCGTCTAAGGTCAATCACATGCTCCAAGGTATGAGGGGGCAATGTCCGCTAACCTTGTTGGGGGCTCCCAATATTAAGGGTCTCTAGAGTTACCCCCCAACAACCGACCCTTCAATTCAGTGGTAGTGGTTGTAAGGTTCCAAGCGCACCTCAGCGCTTTTCCCATGTTGATCCGCGTAACAACCATTAGAGTCATGGGTTTGGGGGGCAGGCATGGGTCGAGCGGGGATGTAGGAAAGACAAAGGGCGGGTGGAGTGAGGAAGAGGGGAGCGCTGAAATGGGGGTCGGTTGCTTAATCCCTGTCAATCACGAGGTTTTATGGACAGACCCCCCAATTCAAAGCCCCTTATTTTGTTTCTTCTGGAAATTCCTGGACTATGTATGGCCCTGAATTGGGGGGGTCGGTTCTCTATACTAAAGCCTCGTGACTTACAGAGTTCTGGGGGACCGACCCCCCAATTCAACAGCGTGTCGTTACTTTTTCTCGAAACACACAAGGTTGCGTAAGCCAGTAGAAAATCCAGGGCCGACATTCAGAAACCCTCTGTGTGCTTCTCGAATGTTTGCTTTTGCGTTTCTTGCGACCAGTCCTTTCCTCCCAAGGGCACTGTCTTACTTTGCTGTCTTGCAACGAGTCAGCATAACTGGAGTGGCTTGCATGGTCTAGAGTGATTTAGTGTGTTTTAGAGTGGTTAAAAGTACTTTTATAGTGTTTGAGAGTATTTTAGAGTTATAGATGTAAGATTGCATTAAACAGGGGAGTCGATTGTTGGAGGGTCAGTCTAGGGACCCCTGCATTATGACAAGCGTCTTCCAACGTGCGCCTGCTGCAATAGGAACTTTGTCATATGCTTCCCAAGGTTGGGGAACACCCCAAATGGCTGAGTTACTGTGGCTTACCTTCAAATATCACCCTGCTGTACAACGTGTTGATGGATCATAGCTAACACAACAACAGTGTGTAGCAACCTAACCGACTGAGCATAAGAGATATACGTGCCAACTGAACTTTTGCTGGATATGCTATATGTTTGTTACAGTTCATTGAAACGCATGGGCGTAGAGAATCCCGATGTGAGGCAATATCAAAATCTTATTGGGGAAGAAGGCCATTCCCAAGCGTAAGCTGCCGCCTTTGATCTCCGGTGCGGGCTTCCTTCAAGCTGGTGCTTCTTTGCCTTCAGTTTTTTTGATGGTACCCCTTTTTTTTGAAGTAGGAAAACCGAAATCCACCTGTTGTTTTGAGGGAACAAAGACCCACCGAACTACCATTGCCTCTAGGTTGACCTGTATACTAAGTGGGCCTGTGCAGAAAACCGATCGGCCAGGCTCGCATGCCAGATCCCGAGCCTTCGGAATGCATGCGCCTCGCAAGCAGAACACTAGGTCCCCCAGCAATTGGTGCCCTTTCTCACCCGTTTCTTGGAGGGTAACCCCCTACTAAAATAGACTACAGAAAAAGGTTGGCACCCTTATTCTAACCATGGAGGACCTGGAACAGGTATGCTTCCCTCCCAAAAAAAAGGCTTTGGCGGGTCTTGCGAGAGTGTGGGATGCCGAATTTGAAGGCCCTCTGGAGCCCTGAAGCGTTTGTCGGGGAAGGGAATTGTCGCGTGTAAGCGGACTTTCAATGGATCTCATGTGGGCAAAGATAAGTGCATGAGTGAAGGATGCTGCAGGACTTACCCAGGTGTAGATCAATCATGGTTCTTCCCGCCGTTGGATTCGTTTGACGCTGGGGGAACATGCTTTGGACACAAACGCAGACACAAGACGCCAGGCTGATGGGATCAAGGAGTTTATCCCCACTTCTGTGATACAAGAACACCTCCCCCGTTCTACCGGGGGTTATTCTTGGGAGCATAGGTGTTAGTCTTTGGGAACATAGGTGTCCTTTTTAGTCGTTTTGCTAGAAAAATAGATGGCCCTGGTTTACCTGGTGGTGTTTTCATCTACCAAGGCCATCTATTTCCCCTAAAAGGAGACACATGTTTGGGAAGCCCTCTTGGTTGTATCACAGAAGTGGATTCCATTTCCCACAGCCCTGCAAGACGCCGAGGTCTCACGGCTGGATTACTGGCATTGCCGGAAGTGGCACTTGTAGACGCCTCTCGGCGAGCAGTTGTTGCGCGCAAAGAAGTACGTTGCAGGCACGTGATCCCTGATCTCAGTGTTCAAAACCGACCCTTGAACCTTTTGGTTTTCCCATATTTGTCCAATTTTAGTAGTGACCTCAAAAGGTTCTTTCTGGGCCCTTTGGACTGAGTAATGCTCGGTGGCTGCAAGGCCAAAACGGGTATTTGGGAGGTGCACACATCTTTTCCAGTCAGGGTAAGGATGAGGAGTGCATTCGTTGCTAGCAGTGAGAATTCTTGGGCTTCAATAGTGCCAGTCCAAGGATGCCCAGATCTCATCGAATGAAACCTGGGTGCCTGACCTGAAGATTTATTACGGGCGTCAACTCTCAACGCATGTTTGGGCATGTTCAATGCTTACGACGGTCAGTTCTGAAGCCCTTTCCCCAATGAATTGGCATCAGCGCCTGAGTGGTTTATAGCAAAGCAATGCCCCCCTCATGGTCTCCGTGTTCTCCCAGGTCACCATGCAGTACTACTACACCGAGCTCGGAATTCTGGAGGATGTGCCCTGGATTTTTGCAGCCCCACGGGCTTGGGGTTCGTTAGTTGAAGACACTGCCATACCTGTGGGCCATTTGGACCCTCCTGGTTCATGGGGGAGGGTAGAAAAGGAACCTAGTTGCAAAACTGTTCAGCCATCTTGGTAGAACTAGCGGTCAACGTGAGTGCTGCTCGGACCCTGCCGAGTTGATTGTGGCGCTGTCGAGCACGTGCTAAGCCTCACAAGTGCTGAGCTTATGTTAAGCCTGAAGGGGTTATATCAAACGCCCCATTTTGTCCTCTGGCAGGTTGCAACTGTAACGTTCAATCGCGGTCAACGTCTCACTTCCTTGGATTGGTGATCCGCTTCTGCCTCGTTTTGTTTGCTCTTTACACCACCCAGTTTTTTCTTCTACCCGCGAACGGTCTCGGTCCCTCGACTGGAAGGCTTGAAGGGGACACCCGGCCGACAGACGCCCACTCGCTGCAAAGGCAAAGAGGGGTTTTCAGGGTCATGGGTCAAGCCATTACTCCAGCCCGCTTGGCAAATCCGTTAAAAAGGACGTCAAAAAAATATGTTGGAGCACGTTGACACTTTTTTTTTGAATAGTCTTCTCTTGGTTTCCCTTACATTGATATTAAAGGGACCCAGGGTTTGGTTGTTTGAGCCAATTCTGCCTAAACCTGGTGTCCTGTACGATGTTTAATTGATGGCAAGCAAGACCTGGGCGCCCTTGTCTTGACCAAGCCACTTTGCGGTTCAAAGGACGGCATGGCCAAAACTTGTGCAGGCAATTTCACTGCGTGCCAACTCATAGGCTATGTCTGCGGTCACCGTTTGCTGAGCAGGTTCCGAAGCACGTCAATACAAGCCGCAGCCAGCTCAGAATTATCAAGCATGGGTGTCATTTGCCTTTGTTGACTGGAAGGCTTCAACAAGCAAACGATTTTCGGCAAATGGTTCCCAAGACAGTCAGAAAGTCAGACATGTCAGAAACATTGCGACACAAATACAGAACTTAGCTTGCCTGCTCCTTGGTTGGGTCTCTAACTTGTCATTGCTTGATAAAATGTGTTCTTGCCCACTAGCAGGGAGTTCAACTTTGCACGTTGGGCGATAGCCACAAAGCTATTGGTAGCACGCAGTAGCTCAGGAGCTTTCAGAGGAGCACAAACACTGAAACGCCGCAGCCTGGCAGTTGAGCAACGGTGGATATGACTGCAAGGCGAGACTTTGGGTCCTCCCCCTGCGAACATTAAAGCTGAGCTCTCGGGCACACGGCCTCGCGCATGGCTCGGGCTGATGGCGGTGGTCAGGTGGGGAGGGCCGGATCCGGAAAAGGGCAGGTCACCGGTTTTCAAGGGGTGCCTACCCTCGCATACTTGGAACTTGGGGGGTTCTGGAGACGATTCCTTTCCACGGCTTCTGCCAAGCTCCGAAGAAATTCAAGCGAAGCTTCCAGGCTCGCTTTAAAGCGACCCCCCGTAATTTGGTTTGCGACCGATTTAGCCCATGGGTCCTCTCATCGCGAATGATCAGGAGTCGGGGAGCGCAAGGTTTAGTCCTTGGTTCTATTTGCCAGGGTTCCATTTTGGGGTTACCCAATTTTTGACCCACACCCATGTTGCAGAACGAGGCAATGTATATGGGTTTCTGGACTCATTCCACGGTCCAGGTGGGTGGCTCTGGTGGCGGTGGCCGGAGAGGACACTCCGCTCTTTTGCAGCCACTCCATGGAGCTGGATGAGCTCTTCGACTTGACTTCGAGACTGGGGGTGATGTTTTTGTTTGTTTGTTTGTTTGTTTGGGTGGTTGGTTGTTTGGTTGTTTGGTTTGTTTGATTGGTTGTTTGATTTGTTTGTTTGGTTGGTTGGTTGATTGGTTGGTTTGCCTGGTTGGTTGGTTGATTGGTTGGTTGCTTGCTTGCTTGCTTGCTTGCTTGGTTGCTTGGTTGCTTGGTTGCTTGGTTGCTTGGTTGGTTGGTTTGACTGGTGGTTTGGGTTTGGTTGGTTGCTTGGCTGCTTGGCTGCTTGGTTGCTTGCTTGCTTGCTTGCTTGCTTGCCTGCCTGCCTGCTTGCTTGCTTGCTTGCTTGCTTGCTTGCTTGCTTGCTTGCTTGCTTGCTTGCTTGCTTGCTTGCTTGCTTTTGGTTTGCTTGCTTGCTTGCTTGCTTGCTTGCTTGCTTGCTTGCTTGCTTGCTTGCTTGCTTGCTTCCTTGCTTGCTTCCTTGCTTCCTTGCTTCCTTGCTTGCTTGCTTGCTTCCTTGCTTGCTTGCTTGCTTGCTTGCTTGCTTGCTTGCTTGCTTGCTTGCTTGCTTGCTTGCTTGCTTGCTTGCTTGCTTGCTTGCTTGCTTGCTTGCTTGCTTGCTTGCTTGCTTGCTTGCTTGCTTGCTTGCTTGCTTGCTTGCTTGCTTGCTTGCTTGCTTGCTTGCTTGCTTGCTTGCTTGCTTGCTTGCTTGCTTGCTTGCTTGCTTGCTTGCTTGCTTGCTTGCTTGCTTGCTTGCTTGCTTGCTTGCTTGCTTGCTTGTGTAGTTGTTTGATTTGTTTGGTTGGTTGGTTGGTTGGTTTGTTGTTTGTTTGGTTTGTTTGGTTGGTTGGTTGGTTCGTTGTTCGGTGCGTTGGAGTGCTGACCCTTACACGACCCAAAGGCGTGAAACTCGCACGGCACAGATGAAACAAGGCATTGGACTCAACTGGCTTGGACACATTTCTCTCAAACTGACACCCCCCAATGTTTCCCTTTAAGACTACCCCAAACAAAAACGGGTACACTAAAATCCACTCAAAGGGGACGGACCTGTCGGAGTTGTTGTGGGCATTTTGGTCATTCGGCAGAAGGCCTAGTGGCCAGCTGCCGAGCCTTATGGCTGGGCTCCCGATAGGTCCGATTTGGGGAGAGGGGGGTTTGTGGCATCAAGGCCAGGCCTGCTTGCCATTTAAGGGCTGGTTCCCGTTTTGGACCTGGTGATTTGTTTTGTTGAAATCGCATTAAATCGCGTTCGCTTTTTGTATGTTGGATAGCAAGTGAGTGAGCAATTGGTGATTCCAAGCAAGAATGATTTGCTTCGAAAAACATACGCGTAGGACAGCTGCCAATTCAAGTTGTTTGAAGCGGTTGTTCGAGCCGCTCACCTGCTGACTTCTAATGCTCGCCGCTACATGGCCAAACGAGTCCAATCCTGGCTAGCCATCAGTTTCTATTGGGTGATGCAAAAGCGAATCAAGCGAAGCAGTGGACAACTACGTGCTGTGGAGCCCTGATCAGCATACGCTTGAGCAGCAGGAGCACTAGAGTGACTAAACCCTCACAAGCCACTGCCACCCCACTGCCTTGCCTGCGTGGGACTCTACAGTCTCGCCTGAGTGCATCTGAGTGCCAGGGGAATACCTGGACAAGCTGTGCGCCAAGCCCGGCAGTATGGTTGAATCGGTACGCTAAGCAAGACAACCGCCCAGGCCAGGCCAGCATGTCCAGTGAGCCCTTCATTTTGCAATGAAGGCTCTGCCGAGCTTTTACACGAACACCCGGGTGAGCCCGAAGATTTTTTGACCGGTGTAAGTCCATGCACCTCCCGCCCATAAACCCTCTCTAGGGTTCCCGGCAGACAAAACTGACTAACTCGGCAAGCATGGTTCAGAAACTCTAGTGCTACCTTCCCCATTCTTTCCAGGGATCCTAAAACCTCCGGAAACCCAGGGAAACGGCCGGTTTTGAGAAGAACGATGGTTGAAAAGAGTGGGGAATCAACCCTTAGAGAAACGATTTTGGTCATCACTCCTTTCGAGTGTTTTCTGTGACCCCATGTTTTGAGGATGGATTGTCCCGCCAGCTAACTTCAGGGGTCCTGCCACTCGGCACGAAGCCTTGGAGCCCAGGTGCCTCACATACATCCCTGCTGAAGAGAAGGCCATGGGGCGCTTCATGCAGGCGAGGTGGCACAGTGAGTCTTCGTATCGTGTTCACGGGTCACTCTATTTCGGACGCGTGTATACATGCACATGTGTGTGTAGGCACATACATGCATACATACATGCACACCTACCGGCATTGACCTACATACCTACGCACATACCTACATAATTACATACATATCTACATAGCTACCTACACACCTACATACATACATACATAGGTACATACATGCATGCCTACATACCTACCTACATACCTACATGCCTGCGTACATGCAAACAAGCCTACATATCTGAATACCTACATACCTACCTACATACATGCATACATAGATACATAGATACATAGATACAGACATTGTCATGTATACATCCATACATGCATACATACATAATACATACATACATACATACATACATACATACATACATACATACATACATACATACATACATACATACATACATACATACATACACACACACACATGCACACATACACACATACACGCACATACACACACACACATACACACATGCACAGATACGCACATACACACATACACATACACACACATACACACACATATACACATACCCACGTACACACCTACACACACATACACGCACATACACACATACGGGCACGCACGCATGCACACATACACGCATACACGCATAGACGCATACACACACACACATACACGCACATACACACACATATACACACACATACACACATATACACACACATACACACATACATGCTTACATGCATACATACATAGATAAACACATGCAATCATACATACATACATACATACATACATACATACATACATACATACATACATACATACATACATACATACATACATACATACACACACATACATACATACATACATACATACATACATACATACATACATAAATACATACATACATACCTACATACATACACATACACATATACATACACATGCACGTGCACATACACATGCACATACATATACATACATACATACACATACATACATACATACATACATACATACATACATACATACATACATACATACATACATACATACATACATACATACATACATACATACATACATACATACATACATACATACATACACATACATACATACATACATACATACATACATACATACATACATACATACATACATACATACATACATACACATACATACATACATACATACATACATACATACATACATACATACATACATACATACATACATACATACATACATACATACATACATACATACATACATACATACATACATACATACATACATACATACACATACATACATACATACATACATACATACATACATACATACATACATACATACATACATACATACATACATACATACATACATACATACATACATACATACATACATACACATACATACATACATACATACATACATACATACATACATACATACATACATACATACATACATACATACATACATACATACACTCACAGACAGACAGACAGACAGACAGACAGACAGACAGACAGACAGACAGACAGACAGACAGACAGACAGACAGACAGACAGACAGACAGACAGACACATACATGCATGCATACATACATACATACATACATACATGAATGCATGCAGGCACGCGCACACATATACACACAGACACACGCACACGCACACGCACACACACACACACACACGTATATACATACACACATACATGCATAGATGAGCGAATTTGTATGACATACAAGCACTGGCAATGAGTTGGTTCTCCTGACCATAATGTGTCTGTCACGTCGCAAAGTCATGTGGATTCATGAGCAGTTAGGCTTATTCCGCTGCTTCCCTCTCCCGTTGGGACGAGAATCGCATAGCCGCATAGTAGTTATGGTAGTCCTTCTGTTTGACATCAGGAGACTACCCGCTGTGGGTATGCCTTTGCTAAGAGTCGCACCCCCAAAATGGTTCGACTCCGCTTCCGTTTCAACCCGCGGAAAAGGGGCGTATCATGGGTGGTTTTCCTTTCGCGGACCCCCAACATGGCGGTGGATCCCAGCGGCTTGAGGCGCTATGGGAGGCCCCGCAGCCGGGGCCAGAGGCCTTCGAGGGTCGAGGCATCGTGATGAGCGGTGGAGCGGGCCACGTGCTGCAGGCGCCGGACAGGGTGTCGAATGGATTCTTTGGTGCATTTTGCCAAGGGATGTTGGGACTTTAGCTTTTTGCCAGCTAATGGGTTTTCGATTACGCCACTAAAAGTTAAATTTTTAGCAGAGGAGCAGAAGGCAACCGAGGATTGGTGGGTGGGTGGGTGGGCGGGTGGGTGGCGGGTTGGTTGGTAGGAAGGTTGGCGTGGCTGGCTACCTGGCTTGTTGGCTTGTGGCTGGTTGTTCAGCCGGCCGCCAGGCCAGCCAGCCAGCCAGTCAGTCAGCTCGGTTGCTCTTTTTCGGGTTGCTCGGTTGCTGATTGCCTGGTTGCTTGGTGGTTTGCTGCTTGCCGTGGTTGGCGTGGTTGTGCGTTTAGCGATTACTGTCTGGTCTTGAGGCAGTGTCAGAGCAGTTTAGGGAACCCTTCTTGAAGTTTCACCAACTGCAGGTACCAGTTTGATGGATTGACATCGAGCCACCCGCCAAGATGTGATAGAATTGTGCAGCGCCTAAAACCTGTCAATAATCTACAACGCTCTACGGGTAACCCCAAAATGGATGGGTGTCCTTTCCCCTTTTAGCCGACCCCAAATAGGATAGCCTAAAGAAAGACAAACCAACATGTGTTTGTGCAATCAAGCACGTGGGTTGTTCCACACAACCACCACACCTTGTCAACTGGGATCCATTGCTGCATACACCAATGGATCTGTTCCAGGTTGCAGAGATTGAGTGAAAGAGAAAGAGAGGGAGCTCATCCAAACGATTCCCATGGCTCCTTACTGGGCAAAGAGTGGTTGCGAATTCCTAATCTGGTTTAACTGTTTCAGGGTGTGTCCCCGTACATGTGTAGATCGAATGCCTGCGCAATGCAGGCCCTGGCAAATCTGGACGTGCTGCGGTCACTACACAAGTCATCCATACCAGTGGAGTTTCATGGCTGCAATTTCGGCTTCGGAGCGATTGATTCCAAAGATATCTCAAGTAGGGACCAGTGGAAGCCTGGTATTTTGCAGGGAGTCTCCGTTGGGTGGGGTGCTGTTTAAACGGGACGAAAGGGAACCCTGTTACTTGCACGCCGACGTGTTGAACTTCCAACACATCGGATGCGCGTACTATCATTCTGACTGCAGCGTCGCGATGACCCGACTACAAAGAGCTCATCTTACAATGTGCTTGCAGCTATGATGATGCACAGCCTCTAGGTTTTACATGCCGGTTTCCTTGTTTAATGCCTTGGCGATACCTGTTTGCTGTGTTTTACATCGATGTTTTCAGGGTCCGGTCGAGGACCGCTCCCATCACCCCCGAATTTCGGTCCTGCACTGGTTCCCCTCTCCGAGCCAACATTGCTTTGTATGTTTCAGGGCATATTTGTGTTAAACAAAGGAGAAATGGTAGCAAGAGATTCGCTGTTGCTGGATAGCTCACTTTTCCTGAGTTTGGACTGCAAACCTTTAGGACTAAATTCAAAGTATGGCAATGTATTGGCATGCCTTGGCAAGTTGCGGGCAATCGCTTTGATAGTTTTGAAGTTGTAGCGCTCTTCTGTGTGCTTATTCTTTTTCTTCTGGCAAGGAGCGTCTTAAGTCGTGGGGGGGGGGGTTGGAGAGTGCCACAAGCGAATGAGGGTGGGTGCCTTTAAAGTACTGGCAGTCAGCCAAAAAGGGGACGTCTCTAGGGGTTGATTCCTCTTCCATTCTTCTCAACCATCGTTCTGTTCAAAAACCAGCTATTTTCCCTTTGTTGTTTTTTCCCCTCTGAGGTTTTCTAGAAAGAAGGATCGCTGGAAAGAATGGGGAAGGTACCCCTAGGACATCTTGAGTCACAGGGAGTTTACGAATGAGATGCCAGCGGTAAGGCTGACTGGCAAAAGGAAGAGTCCTGATCTATTCGCCATTCGCCATGCGCAAATTTGCTCTGTTTGGCCAGGGTGAATTCCTCTTGGTTGGGGCTGTTTGGTCTCTGTCAAAGCGCCAAAAGCAAACCCTCACACCAACCCGCAGAAACAAACCCGCACACCACCCCCCAAAAACAAACCCGCACACCACCCCCCAAAAACAAACCCTCACACCCACCCACCAGAAACAAACCCTCACACCACCGCCCCAAAACCAAACCCTCACACCACAAGGTCTTGGGGTCGTTTGGTTCAGATCAGGTTCTGGCACGCTTTCGAGCTCGAGCCGCCCTTTTGCGAAGCGCTGGCCCTACGGGGCGCCGAGTGCCGGCAGCTCCAGGCCGGGGGGGGGGGGTGCTGTTTAACATTCTCGGTGGGGTACATGTTTGTTGGGTGGCTCAGGCTAGGTCCCCCAGCCAGGTGCCAACTTTGACCGTTTCTTTTTTGGTTTGGAGGGTTCGGGACCCTAGTAAAATAGGCTACAGCAAAGCTCTTTGCTGGAGGACCTAGAAGGATAGCACAAGGGAACCCACTATTTTGGGGCCCGTTATTAAATTAAGGCGACCGGCAAAAGCGAGCTCGCTAATGTCCAAATGGGATTAGTTTTGGGGGGTCCCCCCCCAACGATGGGGGCACCTGAAAATCATCTTGAGATCCAGTTCAAGTGAGTTTCCATTTAGATTTAGTATTGCTGGAGCAGTTGCGCTGGGCAGGTTGTATTTTTCAGGGGGCCAGGCACCAAGACTTTCTTTCGGGGGTGCTGAAACAATGTCAAGTTGGGGGCTGAAGTACTACACCCTTTGTAAGTTTGATTGTGGGCAGGTTTTAAACAAGAGACATGTAAGAAAACATGGGTTTGGTAAAGCTGACCATTTGGGATTCAAGGAACAAGGTACCAAAGATCCAAGGAAGAGGTGTTGGCTTGGCTATCTCTCCTCTCCTTTCTCTCTTTATTTTCCTTTTTTTTTTTTAGCGGGTGGCGGGTGCTTGTCTTTAATCCAGGTGCATTTATTAATTCTTTTGGGCCCCCCATTTGTCTTTATTCCGCGTGCATTTGTTAATCCTATTTGGACATCAAGCTTTGTGAGATCCCTCATATCTCGTTGTGTCACGAGTGATTCTGCATCCGGACAATCACTCCCCGCCTCCAAAAAGAAGAGCCCCGTTGTTCGGCTTTGTTTGAGGGGGGGGGTCCGATTCCGTTGAACTCAACCACAACCAACAAAGGATGCCGATTTTTGTTTTCCCGTGGAAATCCACTGGGCATCTGAGAACCATGAAGATTTGCTTTCCAAATGATTGAACCGTGGAGGTGCGGTCTTACTCATCGAGCTATAAAGATATTCATACGAGGATATAAGAGTTTCCTCTCCATATCTCTAGAAGCCCGAAAGGGCCCTGTGCTTGGTTTAAACCTCGCTCTTGGCAGGCCAATAACTAGTTCTTGAAGTGACGCTGGAGTGGCATTGGGGCAGGGGGTTGCCACGGGTTGGTTCACCTTCTTATTGGGGTAGTTGTTTTGCTAGGGGGTAGTTTCAAAAAGAGGTGGTTCGACTCCCCGAACCAACGAAAGAAGCTGCACCAACTATAGCATATTTTAGCGAGCTCTTTTGGGGGTAAAAGAACCCACCCCATGATGAAGGTCTCTTACGTAGGGATGAATGAAATCAGGCCGAGGAATCATAGTAAGTAGTGTGGATTCCAGGTACTTGAGGCCAGTGAGTTGTGGCCCAGTTTGCTCCCTCCCGATGCCCGATTCTGAGAGGTGCCCGGGGTGTACCCGCTCTACGAGACTGTGCTACCGCTGCCTGGCTACCACTTTGCCGGCTCACGGGATTTGCCATATTTCCCAAGTTGGACCGCGCTTGAAGCCATCAAGCGTTACACCAGGTAGATCCTTCGAAGGGAGTGCAATCAGAGACTGGGAATCGGTGTGAAACTTGAGATCTTTCCATTTGCTCGGAATTCGCCCAAACAACTCAGATTGAGCGTATTGTCGTTGGCATTGCAAGAATGTCACTGCCAGGGGTTTCCCGTTTCTTTTGTATGGATGGTCGTGGTTTCTGCACAGTCCTGAAGGCCCGTGGGGCTGAAATAGCGATTCCCTTTGGATGATTTCAAAGGTAAGTGTGAAGCCACTGAGCAAGAAAGGAATTCCTTCCCTTTGCAACAGTTCGCCGCCGCCAGCATCGCACTCTGCCACCTGAAGAAAGGCATTTGGGGTCTGACAGCTGGGAGTGTCAGATTTCCAGCCTCCGCCATTTGATCCCACCCGGATGTCCCAAATGAATCGACCTTGAGGGAACCCCCAACAGAGCCTATGGGAGGGGCCCATGGCAAAGCGCTCATGCGAGTCCCGGGAGCCATCTATTTCCACTCCATGCCCCCAAAATTCCTCTTGAATCACAGCCATTCGTTGAAGCCATTGAAGCGGTTCTTGTGGCCCCTAAGATTACCAAAGGTCCATTTTGTCCTCGAGCTTCCGGGATGTGCTGTGGATGGACACCGACATCACTCCGCTGGTCCCCCCGGAGCTCCTCTTCGAGTCCGACGCCTACGCCCGCGCCTCGTCGGCGATTTGTGTGGCTTCGAGCGTGCGGCTGCGGTGCGGCTGGGACGGGACATGCGCGGGGCCAAGGTGTTCTTATTGAAATGCGCGGGACAGCGGACGACGCATCAGTTTCAGAGACCAACTCCGGAGGCGTCAACGGAAATGAACCAAAGAGAATTGCATACTGCAAGTGAGTGCGGGGATTTCTGGTAGACGTGAAACTCAAGTTGTCGCGCATGCCAGTGCCACAGTGCCATCGAGTGCCAGAATACAGACTGATTGCCCACAAGGCCAAGTTCTTCACGTATCATTCAAAGCGCCTTTCCACAAGCATCCCAGTTCTCCAGTGGCAGTTTATGATAAGAACATGTGTTGGGACGGTTGTCTCTGTTGCACTCCGAGTTGCTCTTTTAGATCACCGATGCAACTCGAATGTGCCGCGAGAAGGCAGGGGTGTCCCATTTCTGGAGCCTGAGACACCGTGGCGGCCACAGGGTTGCGGCTGCCCCACTCACTCCCCAAGTTCCAGGACTTGGGCCAATTGGCAGCAAGCGGATGGACGGGCCTGTCATCTCAAGGTCACCCCGGTTCGATGATTGAAACGATCCAGTTGGCTGTGAGACCCCCAGGAACCAACCCTTCGCCCACGTGACAAATGCTCAGGTGAGGGCGCGCTCTTTTGGCCCGTGGCTCGGTGTCGACAGCGGATGGAGACCCCTGGAACTCTGTCTATTTGTAACTCCATGTTGCCTTGGGGAATAGGAAAATGAAATTGGGGACCCACCCCTGCCCCTTAAGGTTGGGAGATATGTTATCCTTGAGCCGGTTGAATGGGGATCGTTATATTTATGTTTGGGTGGTTCGATCGTCACGCTTTGATTGCCCTTAAAAAATGAGCTTCTTTATGGTGCGGGGGTCGAGTACTGAAATTCTACAGTACCTGTTGCATACCTGTTGCTGTTTCGGCCAGCACGTGCAATCATGATTTATCCTTGCCGGGGTGCACTCACGTGCAACTTTGTGGATTTCCGGGGTAGTCTTTGAAAACTGTGGCACTGGTTGTCAGGAGGTGCAATAGTGTTTGCTCTAGCTTGTGATTGGCCTTTCCTTGAGAAGAGGCAAGCAACAACTTCTGTCCGGCGAGTCGTGACACGTGATTGCACATGTGGATTCGTTTTTCCTTTCGGTTTCCCTCCAACAAGGGTCGGCTATTTGCATTTGTTCTGCTGAAATCTTTTTGCTTTGACAGGGTGGACAGTGATACATCCCTTGAATGCTTGTAAACCGAGTATGAGTAAGCCAGCCACACATCACGCTAGATATATAAGATTTCTTCGACCGACCGCCAAGACTTTCAAATCACAATTATAGCGCTTCAGTCTGAGCCGGGGCTTATTGACTCCCCGTTGACCCCGTGTTCGCTTCTTGGGTACTCTCAAGTTGTAGTTTACCTTAAGGGGTATGGTTCAAGGGTCTAGGTTTTCCACAGCAGAAAGACAAGAATGGCTGTGGGTCAAAACCAATGGTACCATTTTGAGGTAGGTGCACCACCCATTTTAGTTTTTTTTTAGTGGGGATTGGGATGTTCACTGGGGGGGTTCCCATGTCCAAACGGGCATTCTCCCTGATTCCCAGCTTGTGGCATCGGCTCAGGACCACTGGTCCCACGACTGCTGGCCATTTGGCCAGTCAGCCTGGCCCAACCACGTGGCTCTGAAGGTTCTGAACCTCACCTACAACCGCAGCGAGCCGCCACCTGCTTGCATGAGACTTGAAGAATGTGTGCGCGAGCTCAGGGTTGGGGTATCCTCCAAAACGACGTATTTTATATGGCTCCAAATTTTAGCGGGGCGTGCCTTCCGAAACGGCTGGTGGACGTGAATCCCCGCCTAAATGATGTCCAGAGGGCCCCTCATCAAATTTAGCAGACTAAATTTAGTAGACTAAATATAGAACATAACTGGACAAGAGTATACTCTGTGCACGCCCAAGGTTTGTCGGGGTCCAGTGTTATTGTCAATCGGCATTTGCTTGTCGCCCCCATTCCTTGGCTCTGCCGCGTGCAGGCGATTTACGCATGAGCACGAGACGGGGCATTTCCTCATCAACAAGGACGAAATCGATCGAGAGGTTCTCGTCAACTGATTGTAGATCTATGTACTAAGTCCGTTTCTTCTTCTTAGGAGATAGTCTCGATTTCAACGCTCATCATTTTCAGTGGATTGCAGTTTCCAGTTTCTCAGACATTGCTTCACTTTTGGACGCAGCCTTCTTTTTGACTTTGCGTTGGACTTCAGCTGTCGCGCTCGCCGAGTTTGCAGTTGCCCTTCTCGTTGGCAATTCAACTATTTCGTTGGCGGGGGCTGATAACAAATGTCGATGTCGCCGGTGTTTGGAGCCATTGGGTACATGCGACACACAGATCAAACGCAAGCTGTTTGATCGGTCCCATAGCTGTTTGTATTTGGTGGACCCCAGGACACGATGAACGGAGAGAGCCGTCACACACGCATGTAGACGGTATTGTTTCATTGCCTATTTGGCGCTTAGAAAACAAATTCACAGAGTGACATTAGATTTGTCGCTGCATTCTGAAGCTCGGTGCAACATGACATGCAGCAGGGAGCATCCTCAATCAGGTCCTTTTTGTTCAGTGGCATCATGTTGTAACTCTGTTCCACTTGGTTTTTGCACGGAAATGAGCGACCCCTTTGGGGGTTCCTCGCTCCCAGAGTTCATGTATGGACTTTAGACTCTTTGAGAATTCAGAAGATCTGTTTAGTGGCGACCAGCTCATTTTCTATGGCGAACGACTAATGGCCATGGATCATCACCTATGCCTCCATTTTGGGGCGGATTAAAACCCATGTACCAGCTATTTTGATTCTCACCAGGGGTACTTTGGGTTTTGACCCACAGCCAAATGTCGAGGATGCCTTTTTGGCAGCCGCCAGGAGCGGCACTGGCGACCCATCTGCCTGGCCCACTACTTGGCGTCCCGGGACTTCTTCACCCGGGTGCTGCATGGGTACAAGGAGAAGGGATCCCGATCTGGCTGTTGCAAGCATGTACCAAAATGGCACCGAGGGGAGAAAAAAAAGAACCAAAGGCTAAAGCCTGCGATCGACTTGCCCTAGCCCTTTAATTTTGAGCCACACACACATTTTGCTGGGCTGTTCAAAGATGATCCGCAAGATCCTTACCTTGGCTTACGCCACAGGTACCTAGTGGCTTCCCTATAGGGATTCTGGATTCGGATTGGTCAACCCTCCAATTTGAACAGCCCAGCCCAGGTGCCAAACAGCCAACAATGGCCAAAAAAGAAGAAAACATGGAAGCCGGTATTGCTCCCTTAGGTTCACTGAACATGGACCATACTCAGCCGCAACAAAATGGCTGGGCAAAGCTGAGGTGGACATGGGCAGAAAATTTGTTGGGAGTCCAGGAAGGTGCCGCTCGATGAAGCTGCTGTTCAAGGGATGGCAGGTGTTTCCTGACGCGAGGCCGGAGGTTTGGGAGGGTGCCATTCCCCAGCGAGTTCTTCACATTCCAATGACCGCTTTCGCCACCTGGGCGGCTTTGCGGTAGGGAGTTCAACAGCCTGGATTGGAATTGGAAAGGTGGCGACCTCCTTAAGCCATGGACGCGAATCTTCCAGGAAACCAAGGCTCTTGTTTTGTAGGTTCCTGCAGCTGTTCTCAAAAAACGCCGAGCGGGAATCAAGTGAAGGGGGTCACTTAGCTTTAGACAAATCTTTAGACAAATCCCTCATATGATCAGCGCCCAGTCCACTGCCTTTGTCCCCCTTCATTTTCCCTTTCGAGCAACACTTAGCTTCTTGCAACGGGTCTTTGTCTGGCCCCATAGTTTGCAGTCTTCGGCTTTCTCCAGCTGGGTGCTGCCAATGCCCTATCGAGCGCAAGCATGGGCGATCGAGGGTCCTTGACCCCAGGATTTGTACACAATTGGACCACTTTGGTGTGCGGGTACGCTTTTCGGGGTTTAGGAAAATTCAAGGAACTCCATTGGGACAAACCCAGTTGCAGCGCGAGTGCAATTTGCCTTCGAGTACGCGCATACGTTTGTTTTGGAGTATGACGTGGTGCCTGTCGAAAGTAGTCAATCTGCTTTGTGCGAATGCCAATGGTTTCATCTGTGTATTGTGCTTGAACAGTCTCTAAACAGGTACTGGCCAACTGGTTTCGGCCTTGGCAAAGCGAAAACAAAGGCCAACTGGTTTCTCCATCCCATGAGGACGTCTTTCGGCTTTCCTTCCTGAAGTTGAAGGCCTCGAACTGGTTCAGCCCTGTGCGGCCTGGCATTGCTTCTTGGACTTGCATATCGCGCACAGAGTGCGCCTGATGAGTTGTCCACCAGGAATGCTTGCTTATCTTGCTTGTATGTTTTCTTCAGTTTATTGACCTTTGTGACTTCGGGGGGGTTGTTGTTCACGTTGTCTTTGTTTAATGGCTTGAATGGGTGCTGTTTGATCACGGAATGGTTTAGGCTAGTCTCATTTTCGTGACAACAATCGATGGTTTCGTGATTGAGGCCTGGTTCTGGACATGTTGCAATGTTCCAACTAGAGAGCCTTGGCGAGCCAAAGGCATGGTTCGTGGTTGTTCCTTCTGGTCGCACCGATTCAATCGCTCCACGCTTTCTGGTTCCCATTCGCATTGCCAACATCAGTGCCCGAAGAGGGCTCGAGCAGAACTGCCTGCTCCATTGGGAGATACGGTTGCTTGTGTCCGAATATGGGAAACCCAAAAAATGAATGTTTTCTTTTTGGCCCCCATGTAAACCAACCCCGAAAAAGGTAATCTCGCAAGTAAAGCAACGCCTTTCGCCTTTAGGAGTGTCTTTTGTTTTTTTTCTTTTTGTGGGGGGACAACAAATTGGTAATTGTTGTTTGAGTGTCCCTTTAAATACCCGCAAAGGGTACCCTGAAGAAAACAACCCCGATCGGTCTCATTTCAGACCGATCAGGTTGGCGCCTTCATGAAGAACGGGCTCTTTATGCCCTCCTCGCTTGTGCAGCACCTGGGCTCAAACCCTTGGCATTCGGAATACCCGAGGAAAACACTTGGGTCATGGATCATG